CTAGCAGCTGGTGGGACGAAGATGACTGGGTGCTGTCCTACTCAGCTCCCTTTCTTGACGCCCATGATACCCTCGATTATCTTTCTCAAGCGATGACCCGTTTTCGGGTGAATTTTGGCTGAAGTGGAAACCCGTGGATTCAGGATGCTACAGGTGCGCAACTGCAGCACTCTAAATATGATTAAATTGAAGCCTGTTCGATCGTGCGACTACACGTTCGGATGACGGGCCAAACCGAGTTAGTTTTTACCATTTCATCGTCGCGGCCGGGGAGTGGTACGTACTCCCAGCTCAAATTACGGCGGTGGACGACTGCTATTGTTGGCGTCGCCTTATTTCCCGGTTCGGTCGATACTGGGTATGGAGCCTGTTTTGTCGATTCGCCGTCCCCCCGAGTTTCGGCATGACTTCGACTGGGTGATTAAGTGACGAAGCTGCATCGTCGGTACTCGCAGAGGTCTTTCGCAGTCAAAAGTGGGTCTAGTTTGCTTAAGGCAGGCCGCCGACGGGCTGCACTGATATTTTGAGACGGAGCCTCCTGAGCTTGACACGGACTTGGCCAATATGCGATTTAGCTGAGCTACGCACCTTAGGCAGCGTGGAGTGGTCTTTTACGCACACCCTCGCCATCATCGGTATGCTTAAACGGTGTCCATACGGTTCTCAATGATTTCTCACGTCAGGCAATTGATCGCCAGGCGTTTCAGCTCCACAAACGCTTAATAACACTCCCTTGCAACCCTTGCTGGATACATTGGACTTGGTTGTTCGCACGGATACTTAGCTCCGGGCGGCGGCCCATCAGCTTCCTTCACAGGTCTGGAAGCATGACAACGGTCTATCTGATGATTTGGTCTGTACAATGTATCGCATCGCTACCAAGCAACTCAATTTTTATCACGCGGGGCGCTCCGCGGACAACAGCTGTCGTGCAGTGCAGGAGCGTCAAGCGGTTCCTGAGACTTCAGTACACTTATTTTGGGAGTGCCCGAAGGCGCATGCGTGCTGGGGTAAATTCCTCCGACATTGGACCGGCGCCATCACTACTTCTAGTGTCTATTCTAGCTACTTCGGCGACTGTGCCAACGGTCAGAATCCGAAAATTCCAGCGTTTCAGCGGTCTCGACTGTTGAATAGTATTTAAGACGATGTCGCTGCGGGCGAACAGATGTGGCGACGGATATGGTTCCTGATGTGCTCTATCTGCATGGCCACTTATTGTGTGAGCGAAACGATGTTGTTTTCCGTAGCGCGCAGTCCACGACGTCTGCCAGTGTGCTCCGCTTCTGGACAACGGGTGTTGTCAATTAACCTCCTTGGCTATGCGTGGAAACAGAGGCGCAGAAACAGTGGTTCAAGGGGCTCAGATAAATGCCTGTCTTGAACTTTTTACCCTAGAGGCGAATGCCGTACCACTCCCTCGAGCACAGTGCCACGAAACATCGCCGTGTCCGGTGCTGTATCCCTGACTTAGACGATTCCAGCCTTCCAGCACATGATCATAATGTGTCAATAGACAGCCATGAATCTCTCTCTCTCTACTATTGACATCATGTCACAACATGACCATGCTCATCAGTTCATTAGTTTTTAGTTTTTACCAGTAAGAAAAAGACACATGCGCGGCGTGAGAAAGAGGGAGTTGGTGTTGTTTCTGTGTCTAAAGCAGCCAACGTGTAACTTCTATTCGGACATAAATGTAGCGTAAAAATGTCGATAACTTCTTTCCCCGTCTTTCACGCAATCGTGTCTTGGACTTTCCAGATACTGGGATCAAGAGTGCAATCATCGAAACAGCATCACAGAATTCCGTCCCTGCCCTTTCCCATCACGTGTCGTTTCTCGTCATGAGTCAACATCGGTCTGCCTTCCTATTGGTCAGTTTTGCTGCTCGTTTTGAGTGCAAAACAATGTCCCAGTTTTTGCCATTCGAGAATCTGCCAAGTCTCCGGAAGATGGTCGTAGTTTCGCTGGTTTGTGCCATCGTCGGTGTGCCTAAAAGCCTTTTTGTCGTCAAGATTGACACAAATAAATTAGTAGGTCACTTGAAGGATGCAATCAAGGAGAAGCAAGGACCGAAAATTACTTGCATTGCCAGTGACCTGCAGCTCTATCTGGCAAAAAAGGACGGAGCGTGGCTGCCTTATGACGTTAATTTGGACGAATTGCTTCAGACTGTAGGATTTCTGGATCAGATGGAGAAGATGGACGCGTCGTGGAAATTAGGGAAGCCAAGCCTGTTCGGTTCCGGTCTTTTTCTTGGAGAAGACGTTGTCCACGTGTTGGTGGTGCTTCCGCAGACTGTCGCGTCAGGAAGATTGAATCCGGGTATTCGGCTGACGAAATTCTGGAAAGCGTTCCGAGAAGATTACACCGATACCGACCTTGTAGCTGGTAATCTTATTGCGTTACCAGAAGACACATTTATTCTTGGCCAGGGGAAATGTGGCTCTCGTATGTACGTACGTCATTGCTATCCGCAGCTATGGAACGTTTGTTTGGGTGCTTTAGAGCGCCCCGTAATTCGCAATCTTCTGATTCTTGGCAACCCGGGAATCGGCAAAACGTTTTTTGGCTATTTCATCTTGCTACATCTTGCACGTCGTACTGAAACAGTGGTTTACGAGCCTGCCAGTGGGGAGGATCGATTCTTGTTCTGCGGCGGGACAGCGGTTGCAGGATCGAACACGGATTTCAAAGACATCCTCGGTCAGAGCGAAACATTTTACGTCGTGGATGGCTTCAAACCAAAAGTCTACGAGGCGAAGACGATCCTTCTTACGTCACCACAACCGGAGGTCTGGAGGACTTTTTTTAAAAACGATTGTGCACGGTTTTACATGCCTGTCTGGACTGAGCAAGAGATTTTGCACTGTCGTGATCTGATGTATCCGGACAGGCCATTGGAATGCGTGATGGAATGCTATCGTAAGTGGGGCGGCATTGCACGCTATGTTTTGCGCTTTACGATGGAGGGTAGTCAACAAAAATTGCTCGGTGAAGCGATTAATGAGGTTAATTTGGAGGCGATAGTCAATTCGAAAGACATTATGATAATGCACGGGGTACTTCACTTTCGTGTCAACGACGATTTTTCTAACGAGGGGTACAGATTTGCGTCGAGGCACGTCCTCAACATGATTTACCGTAACGTGTTTGCGAAAAACAGGGGAAGATTACTGGCATTTCTTTCTTCGTGTTCAATGATCGGCTCTTTTGCAGTGGTCTATGGATCATTGTTTGAGTCGTATGTGCATACAATTCTGCCCCGTGGTGGAAGGTTTCGAGTTCGACGCTTGATTGAGGGTTCGAAAAAAAGAGCTGCAGGTAGAGAGGAAGGCAAGAGCAAGAAAACACGAGTCATTACTGATGAAGATGTCGAAGAAATTGTGTTGCGAGAACGGGAAGTTACCGTTTTCGAGGGAAACGCTCGAGTGACCACTGACGATCCGCCAACATACCTGTTGCCTGCTTCTGGTAACTTTGAATCGGTGGATGCAATGGGCACGCCGAATGAACTTTTCCGAATGACTTGCGCAAAAGTGCACCCTTGCAAACGTCAAGGCCTTCGCAGAGTTCTGGATATGCTTGGAAATCCAGCTGAACCGCGGTTGTATTTTGTTGTTCCGGCTGATATCTTTGAGGATTTTGAATTTCAAAACTATCAGAAAAGCGGGAGGAAAAAGGTGATAGACTCTCTGGACACTGACGGTAACATGAAGGAGCTGAAGCAATATGTCATGGAAATTCCTCTTGTAGAGGAAAGTAAAAGAATAAGACCTCACGAGGAAGCTTGTACATGTCACCAGTCAAAAATGGCGAAACTTGACATCAAGTAAGCTTGGCCGCGAGGCGGCATCGACGGATCTGGTTAAACGTAGTGTTGGTGTGATGTTCCAGCAGATAACGTGAATGGATGTACTGGTACAGTCACCGCCACTTTATCAGCGTTGCGTGTGAAGAATATAATAATAGTACGAGGTTCAGAATAAAAATATACAACGCTTCATTTGCACGCTTTTACAATGTTGTTTTAGATAATGGTCTAATCGCCTCAACCGACTCTAGTCAACACGAAGAAGCAAGTGTAACAACACTTGCTTCTTTCGTCTTGCACCAATGCAAATATCACGCACGACACACCGCTCTTCCTTGTCTTGAGCTGTGTATTCAAAAGACTTCATGGTTCCGTAGTTGTTCGCTCACCGATAGTGCCTGACACTTGCACTGCAGCTACAACTTTTGTGCTGATGGTCTTCTACTCTCGATCGCCACGGGGCTATAAAGAGGTTCAATCACAATGGGGAAATCCGAATGCTGTGATAAAGCAGGTCATTTACAATAGGAAGGTCCAAATGCTGTGAATGGACGCGGATGTGGTTCGTCCGTCCTGGCACAAGTCGACACTGGACAAGGCTATGACCATCCCATCTATTTTTTTGTTTCAAGATGCTGGAGCGTAACACAATACTTTGCAGACGGAGCTCCGACACACATCGCACATGTCCTTGGCGTGGCGACTTCAATCTAAATGGAGCCATCACACGCCAGTGGCAGTCATCCACAGCTTACCAGCCTCGAGCTCAAGCCTTCAACATGGGCCCATGTCGAAGTTGCTTCATCCTCCGGGAAATCGCCCGTATTCACTCGTGCGACGTAAAACTTCTGCTCAACACAAATTTCCGCACCTTTGACCAACGAACTAGTCGTCAGCCCGGTCGACTACGTGCCTTCTCCGCCAACTTGGCAAGTAGCAACAGTCCCGATGTCACTCGATCCAGCCCATCGACCGGCAATAGCGTCAGCCGATTGACCCCTTGACTGTGTACAGCTCCACGTTGTACAAGCTGCAGGATTTGCGCGAATGAGTAAGAGTGACAGCTTCCAGTTGGATGCACCGCAATCTTGGACGATTTTGTTTACGACCATCAGCTCGCTCGTTTCGTCATAAACCGAAGTCGACAATAGAGACGTCACTTCCGCCAGCTTCTGAACATTCTTCACTGGACAATGACATTTGGTTCATGTCGGCGCTTCAAAGGTCGAAAAAGTCTCCACTTTGGATCACTAAGTCGTAACTTGTCTCGCTTCCATTGAATCGCACGAGTCCTAATTGCACCACCGGAGCGCAATACTCGGGCGAGAACGTCGGCCGGAAACTCGCAAGCTACCACTTCGCCCAAGGGCTTACCTGTCCACCGACCGGCCTTAAAGAAAACAAGGCGAAGCAATAAGTAAAAGGATCAACATGGTGGACAGACACACTCACTGCCTGCCATCGAATGGTACATGTGGTACATGTGGTGGACGAGCACGGGTACGAGTGGACGGAGGGAAAGAGGTCGACATGTGCGCTCCGATGGCTTTGACGCTATTTCCAACGCTTCCGTGAGAACTTGGGGTTGCCACTTGCCAATTGAAAAGCTTTGCGCGCAGCCAGCCAGCCATTGTGTTTTCTCCTGCTTCCTAAGCAGCTTCTTGCTGAGCGGACGTGGGTCGTCCGCCATCGACGATCAGTGGACACATATCGTACACGAATAAGGCAGCTGTAGGTCTATGATTAATTAAGGGTTCGACCTGGGGCCATTGGTCCGGGTCAGATCCCAACCCGTTCCCCGGACCAGCAGGACCAGGCGACCCATTCAGTCACCCTAGTCCATTTATTTGACGTGTACCACATTATTTATTATCGAAACTCAGATGCACATTTGTAAAAAAGGGAATAAGGTGTGACCAATTGAGTGAGCAAATTATACAATCCTTCGTCTACGTCCCACAGGTCGGTAAACAATTTATGTGATCGATCACCTCTAGTGCAGCAGTAACTACTTAAAGTCAAATAGTGCAACCAGAGCATAAAACTTAATGACGCACAAGCGTGCAGCGTGACGGGTGAGGTGACTCACGAATGGCTATTGCCAAATATTTATTCAAATCTGATCACATCAAAAGCGTCAAAAGAAAAACAATTCCGTTTAAACGCACACTGCGTGGCTCGCAGTAGCTACCGAGGGTAAGTCGAAACACCTCAAAGAGGTCAGATTGTTGTTGTTTCAAAACTTAAATCACCTTCATTCCTCACTCTCTCTTCACTAGTGATAATGTCATTACCGACATCCTATAACGAGTCATTTGACTCAACTCGCCATCACGTGGATTACGTGCTACTTTACGCGCAATCGTTGACTCGAGCTCTGTATGCCAAGGTATTTCGCCAAAAATCTCAAATTTGACATTCAGTGCGTCACTATCACAGCCAGCGTCACTAGGTGAATACATACGTTCCACTTCGCAACTATCTGATGGGTTCAATCCTCGATGACTTGACGATCGGTCAAATCTCTTACAGATTTCTAGTGAAATGTTGTCACAGCAAGTATCACTCAACGGATTTCTTGTCGTTTCACTTATGAGTAATGAACTTTGCTTGATACTCGTGTCTTTGACATCTTCAGAAGGAACTTGTTTGGACATGTTAATGTTCAGCACACTGACAGACTTGGCTTGCGGCTCGCACCAATAGTGCTTCTGATTCCTAGCATTGATGGGCTCATAACTCTTCAGTCTCTGCTAGTGCACTGCGTGATGCGCCTATTATTTTCGATTTCCAATCGATCCACGGGTGTTGGCGCTCAAGCCAGGCCATCCCAAGAGTGCGGTCATACCCCGGGTCCAAAAGCAAGCTAAAAATAGTGTGGGAAGCTGCTAAATTTTGTGACTTTACAGGATCTCTATTGACATTGATAAGAGTCCCTGTCGCCAATCGAAAATTGATCGGAGTACCATTTTGTGCTCAAATCGCCTCAGCATATCGTCGACACCCCCTCGAGAGAACATCGTCTCATTTAATTACCGAATGCCCCTGAGTCTATCAAAAATTGATTAAGGCTTCTTGAAGCCCTAAAATATCGCTTTCGCGACCAACAGGTCTTATTGTATTCACTTTCTGTGTTAAATTGTAAGGAACGCTCTAGGTACAAGCTCTGATCGCCACTACATTTTAAAGGATCCACAGGACCTAATTCTCCCCCAGCATGACGCCTCCCGACTACTGGAAGTTAACATTTTACCGTGCCATATATACTTCTGGTTTGCGACGGGAGTTCGGCTGGAAGATGCATGGCATGCCATAAGTAGAGGATAATTATAACGCAGTGCTTTGTACTTCCACCCTTGAAACATCGTCGAATATTACAATGTTGTTCTAGAGCTCATATATCCACTTCTTTGTCCGTCCCGGTGATACTGAGGTCCATAGGCTTTGGCGTATTGGATGAACTAAATGAGCTCGACGAATTTGGGATATACCCATGGGTACCAGAACGGCTTTTTTTAGTTAAAGTAAGCGTTCAACGAGATTTCCATAGCCGCCTCGACCAATACGGGGCGTACATGGAATAACATTGTTCTGTATACGCGAGCTCAAATACCTTCCATAAGTACGGTTTCTAGAGCCTGATCTACTAGGGGATCAAGCTGCATGGAAGATATTAGAGTCATCAGCTTCTGGACATATCCCGATCGACTTTTCTTGCCTCGACGGGCAGCTGAGAATATATAACGCACCCGGTATGTCTTATTAGGATGAGCAAACACCTGGGCTGGTTGCTGTCTCAACAGATACCATGTAAGAAAAGCCTCATCCACAGATCTGCTGCACGTGAGAGACCACGCTCTGGCTCAACTACCTGATTTCGAGATGATCTGACCAACTCGCCGTTGCTCGATTGACGCATGGTTTATTATGGCCATTTACACTTCTCTAACCCACAGAAGGCGATTATCACCCTCTTCATCCTTAAACGTCTCCACGCTCAATACAAGTGAGCAAGCCTAGGCTCCACTTCCTGTAATGGAAAATACCAAGTTGGCATAGACGATGCCAAGTGATCGTGTAAATGCCCTATTAGAGGGACCCTATTTAATGAAAGCATCAAGACGTACACGAATCACGCCTGGACTATGTGCAAGGATTCCCACTTGTTCATTTCCGACCAACATTCTGTGTTTCTCACTGCTAGCCATTAGGTCTTAATGAGATTAAATATGATCTCCATTTTTACAGAGTATTGTTCTATAAGTGACGCATGTGAAGATTGACCACATGTGCTACCAAATGTAGCGGAGCTAACATTACTTTTTTGTCAGACGAACACATCCAGACTCGTAAAGTTTTTAGCGCATTATAAAACGGGCGTTAACGAAGCGAGTCTTTAGTCACATATACATAATGGAACAGAGCTACACAGCTCTTTAGTCAGGGAAAGACTTTGGCTTACAGCCACTTAGTTTAATAAAATATAAGAATAACGAGTATAAGAGTATGCCGTCTCTAAAGAACTGGGCGAGACTTTACTGTCAAGTGGCTAATAAAATTATTAATTTACAGAAGGAACCAAAACCTCAAGTGCTCCAGAGTAACAACTTAGTAAGACATGTACTCTTCTACTCAAAAGACAAACCAAATTTTATCAATTATTTATCTACAGAAATAAACCCTTTCTGAAGTATCTTCACAAAAGCTTATTGTACAGATTAATTTTTATTGTGCCAAATACTATCAAGAAGGACATGTCAGTCAGTCATCAAAGTATGACGTACTGGGTACTTACTGTGATAGCTCAAGAGCCATAACCGATACGGTACGACATTGCTCAAATCGCTTGAATGGGTACATTCAATACCTCTCAAATACATTATTAACCTAGAAGGGGTGTTAAAAAATGTTACACCCCCCACCAGACTGACGTTCCTCACGAAAAGCCCTATATTCATTTTTAATTTGAGGCATCCGCACGAGCTTACGTTACGGTTAGCAATTATGAACAACCGAGTATGACGCCACCTGACAATCAGTCATAGTCTCTTAATTTCTTCAATTGCGTAGACGAAGTGAATAAAGTGGATTGCGAATGTGACACCGACCTGTAAGGAGAGGGAGAGTTCAAACACAGCACTGCGACGACAATTTTCGTTGTGCACCAAATCTATCTCTGGAGCGTGGTGCCGTAATGCGATAACAGCGCTACGCGTGACAAGAGACGAGACGGGAGACTCGGTCATCATGGATACTTGACATGACTATCAACAGCAGCTTGTTGATCAAGAGGGTCGTGTGCAGAAATGATAAATGACCAGGTACGCAATCCACGATAGTAAATACTTTTTACTCCGCCGAGTGTGAAAAACCGTACAGGCAAACTGATGGCCAGTCTTTGGTGTTGTGGACCATTGGTCCTGAGGCTAAAACAGCCGACGAGATCGTGACGAGTGAGGCCTTACGCGCACATTACCTGGATCCACGTTGTAGCGACAATAAGTCAATACAAGGCCAGACTGGCCCATCCGTCATATGGTAGCCCTGTATCTCGTATTAGGGGTGTGCCCATGATACTGTCCACAGAAGAACTGGACCTAAAAATGACAGCATATTTGTCCGTTGGGTGCATATTTTACGGCCGTTCACCAACATGATGCCTTTAAGGGAAATTATTGCTGTGGTTGATGTGCGTCCATAACGCAAGCTTCGCTACAACTTTTCGAGTTTAAGGGCCAGATAAAAGTTGCGGTCTACGTTTTAATCGTGGAAGCATCTTTTAACGTTCGGCAAAACGGTGCTTTTGGCGGATAACGTAGCTATGAGTTTCCAACACAATGCGGTCATGGACTCGTACATCTCCATTATTGCTGATGGGAAGTGACAAAGTCGCAAGTTGACTCTGACCGCGATGCTCAAAACCTACCACGATACATGGGCAGTCTTGCCGAAGGGGTATCTCGCATTCCCATGATTCCTCAGACACAGTGAATCCACGCAACATGATCAGATACTAGTATTGTCCGTGACGAAGACGGTTATGGAGGATTTTCCTCCATATGGACCGCAAGTTCTCATGTTGAACAAGCAGCGATGGTGGCGGCCGGTATTTTGGCCAAAGTCCACTTGTAACTGCCCCATGAAGCGAAAAAGTGCCTTTGTTAGACGTGGTCTCAGAGCCATACATCGCTCTAGGCGGTGAAGATACGTCGTTAGGCGATGGAGAGTGAGAAAGGCTAGATGGAGGCACAGCTGTAATCCTTGGTGCGTATGTTACAACCCGCAGGAAGGCTGCAGCCCTCGGCGCAAGCTCCTTCACCTCTACATGAATAGTGTCTCGATATGGCTTAAGAATGTATACGTAAAACACACGCTCCATACGCATGTTGCGAGTTGAGATAAAGCATGCGCTAGGCCCTTCTTGGCAATGATAGAATCGGGTCCGATGAATTTTGTCCGCAGCTCCGTCGTAAAAAAGCGGAAATTACGTTGGTATTGGTTTATATAGCTGAAAACTTGTGGTTTTCAACCTCACAACTCTCAATACACCCTCTTTCTTTTTCCTTTGCACGTACCTTTTTTTACATTTTTCAGTCAGTCATTGCATCACGCACATGTCGTAGGACAGTGAAGCGCATAGTGAGGAAAACACTTACCTGCTTTTGGATAAAATTGGGGCTAAAATCGGCA